TTCCTGCTAATTGAGGTCCTATGTTAACAAAATAACTATTGAATTTATTGACGACACTTTTCAAATCAGTAATATTCCGTTCATTCTCTATAAAATAGTGTGGATAGTTATTATTGTTAGAAGATTTCCTAATAACTCTATTTAAAATGTTCCATGTTTCCTTAATGTTGTTTTTATTACTCTCCAGTAATTTATGATAATGGTCCTTTTTACATGTTTTTATAATATTAGTTAACTTATTTTTATATTTCTTATATTTGTTTTCTAATTCTAACGTTCTATATTTTAAAAATTCTCTATAAAGTTTGTTTTTCTTTTTACATGCCTTTTGTATTCCTTTTGTGATCCACTGTTCATTTTTTTGATTACTTTTCCTTTTATATTGTTTGATTGGGCAATGCTTGTTATATAGTATTTTAAATGTTTTTAAAAATTCTTCATATGCTGAATTCACGTCATTCATTCTATATATTAATCTCCAATCGTAGGCCAACAACTCAGCTTCTAGAGCTTTTAATGTCTCTTCAGACGTAACCCGTCTGTAATACATCTCTATTTTTTGATCGTCTGTTATGCCCTTGAAGTCGTAGACTATGAACACTGGTAAGTGATCAGTAATATCATTCATTAATATTCCACTAGTTAAATTATTTTCCAGCACATTTGTGAAAATATTATCAATTAAGGTAGCACAATGCGATGTTATGCGACTGGGTCTGGTGATTTTAGGATACAGACTTAGGCTGAGCATGGTGTTAATAAATTCTTCAGTCATTCTATGTTTATTTGGATTAAGAAGGTCAATGTTGAAATCCCCACAAAAAAATATTATTTTTTGATTAATTGTTATAAATTTTTCTTCTATCCAGTTGTTGAGTACTTCTATGTTTGATCCAGGGGCTCTATAAATGCAACTCACCAAGATATTTTTCTTTTTTTCCACTAATATTTCTATAGTCACACATTCAAACATGTTGTCCATGACAGTTGACATTGTTTCGATCAACTTATAATTAAACTTCTTATCAACATATAAAGCTACTCCCCCTCCATTTTTGTTTTCCCTGTTCTTACAAACCATTTCATAACCATTGATTTCAAAGTCTATGCCCTTATCACTATTTAACCAAGTTTCTGATAAGGCAATAACATTGAAGGTCTGTGAAAGTTGTTGGATGTATTGTTTGATGTTGTCAAAATTTGCATAAAGGCTTCTGCTGTTAAAGTGAATTATTGACAGCTTTTGTTCCGTTTTAATCTTATTGTTGAACTGATCATCGCTGTAATAGTGACAACTATCATTGATGACATTATAGAAATTATTATTAGGATCAATGTCATTTTCAATATCTTGCTGATGATAGTTTCTGTGTTGGAATACGGATAGCTCTATATCCTCATAGGCTGCGATCTGTTGCATGTTTCTCTTTCAGTAGTGAATGTCAGCTATGTCTGGCTGTCTGTCATAGCTATGTGTCCAAGGAACAAGAAATCAGGCTTTAGCTGCACAAACAGAATCCTATTATTACTCTATTGATCTTTTTAACTGGATTCATAGACAGTAAGCAAAAATAGAAATTCTTTCATTAAAAATTAGAAAATCTGATATGGTTTAAAAAAATGTGGTCAACCAATTTTTGATATGAGAATGATTTATCATCCTTGATTTTTTTATCAATTACAGAGTTTTATATCAGCGTGTTTCAGCGTGCTCATAACTTTTACAAAACGTAATTCAACGTATGCCAGCGTTTTTGCCATATTTTTCGTACTTAAGGCATACGCTGGTCTAAATCGTCAAGGTGTTACTGGGGCTTTAGATAGACTCACATCACCATTACAAATGGAAAATCTGAAAAGCAGAGAATAAGAGCTATGCCACTCTGCTCTGATGAAGCCATATGTCCCAACCATAAACCACAGTACTGCAAAGTGAGTATAGGGTCAGACAAGAGGTTTTCTATGTTTATGAGCGCACTAATACTAGGAGAATCTAACTTTTAGGCAAGTTAAAATGTCCCACTCTCCTAAATGAACAATAGATGGCAGCAATGACTATAGCGCTTCCTTTAAGATGGTCATACTTTCTGGTTTGAATTTTAGTAAGGTGTTTTTTGTTTTGTTTTTTTGGTGTTTTTTTATGTGCTTCACTTGCTTTACTACTTTTTGAAAAAAAAAAAAAAACTATCTCTGACTTTAAATTTCAACATCATAGTTATATAATTTTTATACCTCTGAATCGTGATTTAAAATTGCTATCACAATAATAATGTACATTGACAGGACTTCAGATTTACAACTATAAAAAAATATTTTCAAATAAAAAAAAGAACACCTATGACCATAAGATAAAAGCTTAATACTGAAAAATTTTGTGAACATATTTACTAAGCATTTTTAAGTACGGAAAATAATAATAAAACTCATTTTTGTTAAAGAGAGATAGTGACCTTAATCTAAAATATATATATTTAAAACAAAACATTCTAACAATGATAATAATGATAATCCTGGTCAACCTTTGAGATCTTTGGAGGTAATCTAACTTTGCAGGCTCTCTTTGTGGACAGCCTTTGACTGATTGCTTTATTTTTTCCTGTTGACTGTCATTTCTGTGGTTTATTAAACTACCCAAAGTGGCGTTTGTTATGTATGATGAACATAAGTTTCATTCTCCGAGTGCGTTGGCCTTTGGCAGGGCCTTATAAATCACTGTGGCTCAGCCTGTCAGCAGGCAGCCCCTGCCTTTAAAAACTCAGTTTTATTCAGATAAATGTTATTTGTCAGAGTCGATTCTCCTAAACTCCATGTAAACTCATTTCAAAGGCTGCCATAGTTTCCCTGAATTTAATAAAAAACAAACCAAGTCGCCATTGATCAACTTGTTGTGGACATTGTGTTTAGCTTATGTTTACCGGTACCCTGAAAAACATCTTATAAACCATTCTGGTCCAGACTTTGCAGTAAATAGGATTAACGCTTTATGCTGAGTATGAGCCGCATCACTTCTTCTCAATATCATTTACAGCAAACATGTGCACGTAAAATCCTCTTGCTGTCGGTGTTAGAGAAAATGAAATGTCATCATGTTTGCTTCCAACAAACATTCCAGAAATGAAGTGAAAAGCAGAGCATGTTTGCTAACAATCAGGTGAGGAAAGATTAGATCATAAACAAGACACCAACACTTTTATTTTTATCCTTTCTTAGTCCGGAAAAACTTCTAGTTGCTCCTGCTTTAAAAAAACAACAAAAAAATAATTTTGATACCCATATATAACTGTGCTTTCCTGCAGATTTAACTTTTCTGTGTGGACTAAAGCTGAAACCGAAGCATTTCAGCTTGGCTCTAGTTAGGCTTTGTCTCAAAAATGCTGAATATCCATTTAACAATATAAAAGTGAGCTCTAACAATGCATGCACTGTTTATTTATTGTTTTGGGGTTTTTTTCAGGCTTGGCCTGAGTATTATTTTGTCAATGAAAAAATAAATAAAAACTATCGCAATACTAATCTTAAATTTGTATTCCTGAATCTTTGTCAGAGGGTTTATTTATCCCACATCCCACCAGCCATTAAACATCAGATAACCATCCATTACTCTTACACCTTAAGCAGTATGTTAATATAATGTGTGTTTGCAATACTTAGTTTACAGCAACAAAATATTAAAACGTTTATCTTTTAAAACACTGTAAATGCAATAAGCAGTATACTACATTTTTTAAGCAATAGCTGGGATTTGGTTGGAGAAGTCTCCTTTTATATTTGCTCATTTAAAAGAAATGTTTTTTTTTTGTTTTATGTTTTTGTAAGTACATAATTACCAAAGTATTTTCACTCAAGATTTAATATAATATGCATTTAATTTCGCCCCATCTACTCTTTCTCCTAGCCTCTGTCCTGTTTTTTGTTTTTTTTGTAACATTAACTTCTAAACCTTTCATGCACTATTTATTGAAGCCTTAATGAAAGATTCATCAATGCAGTATAAATGAGCCGGGTTCAAATTTTAAGTCGTGTTTGAGCCGTGACCTAATATCTGCCAAATAACGGGGATCCAGAGGCTGGACCGGTATAGAACGGCTTCCATTAGTCTTTCAATCTACTAAGTAAATAGCCTCCTCTGGGAATGATGAAGAAATGCTCATCACAGTGGAGATGATGGAACCCAAAGAAGCAGTGAGTGCTCCGAGTCTGCAGTCCCCTCATCCTTGCGGCGTTCACACGTCTGGAGCTGCATCGCATATGCTGCACGTCACTTATGAGGCACAACGAGATGGCAGCCTCATAGATTTTTGCTTAAATACGCTTGGAGGAGTCCTTTAATAATTCATTGATAATGACCAGGATGAATTATTCAGAAGCACAAACTTTGCTTTGGTAAGCAGGATGCCAGGGCACCTGACATTGATGTACAATGTTGGATCACTTTTTATTAGCGGGGAAATTATTTAAAAACCCTTCAACGAAAGTTTACAGCCCTGCTTTTCTTTCATTGCTGTATTTTTTTTTCTTTTTTGGTAAAAACTAGCATTTGTTTGAGCTGCTTTGACCTTTCTTAACTAAAGGTCATCCTGAAGTAATAACATCTTTTCTTTTTCTTTAATGTTCATCTTAGTGTTACCTTTAGACTAGACATGTATTCATACAGATGTCTATAGCTGTGCACATTCTTTCTAATAAAAGAAGCCCTGTTTTTTTTCTCTATACTCAGCTATACTGTAAAATAGAAGATTTACACTTAAAAGGCTGTGCTATGAAAGCCCATATTCACACCTTACATAAATTCATTTTTCAAAACATCTCTCAGACATGTGAGGTTTACAACAAAGAGAAATAACAAGTTCTGACCCAGAACAGGACTATTTCTTAAGGTTGTTTAGAGCCCATCATGGTCTCACATGGCTGCCCGTTCACCTCATTCACTTTTGAAAAATAAGCTAAGCGAAGGAGGAGCAAAGGGCTAATAAAATGAGACGCGTGTGTTTGTGTTGCAGACCCACAGACTGCCCCCAGTGAGGTGGACGGGGTCAACCTGGAGGAGATCCGCGAGTTTGCCAAAGCATTCAAGATCCGCCGGCTGTCCCTGGGCTTGACGCAAACCCAGGTGGGCCAGGCGCTCAGCGCGGCGGAGGGCCCTGCATACAGCCAGTCCGCCATATGCAGGTAAGACAGAAAAATTAACAGGAGAAATTCAGATTTTATTTCTTCTTCTTTTTCTGTCCTGATTCTGTCAAATGAAGGTAGATGTAGCAGAGCAGCATCAGTGAGCTGTCAGGTGCCTTCGCCTCTTTAATCCATCGTGAAAGAAGACATCATTAAGATATTAAACACATAATTGACCCACATGGCTTTACTCACCCACCCTGCTCTGCGTTCCCACCCACTGACAGCCTGGTGTTACTTATGCAAAATACATACACAAGTATTACCAGAAGCACTTAAAGCATTTAATAATTACTAAGGACATCGCTGTTTCCACTGCCTGAACATGAAAGAGCTTGACGGCAACTATCTGTTAATAAGATTCCCATATTTTACTGCTTCTGTGAGTACAGTTTAGCTGTAAACGGGGCATTATATATTCATGAGGCAATGATAAAATCTGTGTTTCATTCGTCCTGTTTTTCTGCTTCACTAACGTTTTGCATCAAGAAGCTAAATAAGCCACATTTTCCTGTCAGGTCAGAAAAATTGGGCCACATGGCTTCAAAAACTGCAAGAATTAAATAGAAAAGTTATTTTCTTTACAGACCATAAAGACGGTTTTAGAGTTTGCAACAGAAGCATGTGTAAAGTGCTGTTTGGCATCAGTAATTTTCACTCCCCATGTGTTTTTAATGTGCTTTGCAGATAACCTGTACTGTTTAGGTGACGCAGCACCGACACGCAGCTTTAAAACTTTCATCACATCAACATCAAACAGCCGATAAAATGTGAAACAGTGCATCAGGCCCGGGCTAATGTTTAAAGATGGAAGAAAAAAAAAATCACACATGAAATATTTACAGCCAGACATAATTCAAATATTTATAACATACATTAAAATCCATTAGCTTCAAAAATAAACACTGTGCTGGCTGTTATGCATGCCTTTAAGACAACTTTTTCATTGTTTGTAAGACATTAGACATGACATGCTGATGTTTTAAGAAGAAGCAGGGGGAAGTTCACGTGCTTTAGTTTAGTTAACATCAACATAGACATGAAGTTTGAAGATAGGGACATCACTTTAGCTCTGGGGCTCCGGCCCTGAACCCAGACATCCAACAGACACTGACAGATGCTTCTATCTTGTCTGCTTTCATTGCTCACCATGTTCCCAGGCTCTTTATTAGTGTTTCTAAACAGGCACAGGCATTACACAAGGGTATGCTCCAACTAGTGTTGTCCTCCTTTTAGTCAGCAAAAGGCTGGCAAATAAGAATGGTTTGGTTTGATGATATAAGACATTTACTGTGTTTTATGAAAACAAATATCTTCTATCTTTTATTATAGGTCTAAACAAAATCTATATTCCTCTTCATTTTGAACTTTTAACATCCAACTTTGTTTTACGATATGACATGCAAAAGATCAACCTATTGCAACCAGTTAGATTGTTTTTAAACAAAGTTCATATCTATGCGTAAAACTCATGAAATAAAGAAAACTAGAATAAAAAAAAACATTTTTGTTAAATAAAATGGTTATAAAAACTAGACCTTGAAAAATATGAAATCCACCTGAACCTGTAATAAGTTTACAGAATCAATTAAAACCAAATGAACTTTAAGAGCGAATGTGCTTAGTTTTTGTCTCTTTATCGTAATGTATTAATAGGAAGTCTAGTTTCCAGGTATTGTTATTGCTGTTTTTCGCTGTACCACATCATGCGAACAGATGTCAGGCCACACGGGTTGCTGCAGCGGTCTGTCCTTACCTGAGATTTTATTCTTTTTTTTTTTCTTTGTCTAAAGAGTAAAACTGAAACTAAGCATAAATAAATAAAAACTACACTAAACTAGCTAACAACTACTAAATATTAAAACTAAAACAGAATTTAAAACCAGTAGTTAAAAGTAAATAAAAATAAAATCAAATTTCAAATTTAGTTCAACCTTTGTTCCAAAAATGTCATCAAGGAAAAAACCTTAGTTAAAAAAAAAAATTTTCTAATCTTTTTAGGATTAGCTGAGGTCTAACCCAGGAATCCAGCCAGTTTAACTAAGGTTTATAATTCTGCCAAGATGAGTAGTCATCAAATACCCAGATAGAACTATAGCAGGACTTTGTTGGAGGCTGCAAAATGATGACAAATATGTTCCACCTCCTCTGGTATATTTATTAAGATACACACAACCATTTTGGTTTTGCTCCCATTTTCTGTGTAATGAATTCAAAGATCTAAAACTTTTTCCACAAAAATTTCCCTCAAATATTGTTGACAAACCAGCCTAAATCTGTGATAGTGAGCACTTCTCCTTTGCTGAGATAATCCATCCCACCTCACAGGTGTGCTATATCAAGATGCTGATCAGACATGATGATTAGTGCAAAGGTGTGTCTTTTTATCAGACTGACAACAATAAAAGGCCCCTGTGAAAGGTGCAGTTTTTTATGGGGGGCGGGGGGGTTGGGGACTCAGAAAACCAGTCAGTATCTGGTGTGATCACTATTTGCCTCGTGCAATGCAACACATCTTCACATAAAGCTGATCAGGTTGTTAATTGTGATCTTTGGAATGATGGTCCACTCCTCTTCAATGGCTGTGGGAAGTTGCTGGATATTGGCAGGATTGGTACATGCTGTCATTCATCTCATGAAAAATGGGAGCAAAACCAAAAGTGTTGCTTTTATTTTTGTTGCTTGTGTTAGCAATGGGAGGTAGTGCATTTAAAGTTGTAGGGGGACATGCACATTGATGAAACATATAAAAAAAATTATATAGAAATCATAATAAGATTAAACACAAAAAGAATTGTGATCTAAAAGCCTTATGGAACAAAAAAAGTTTCAATAGATTTTTTTTATTCTAATTTCAAGAAGTTGCAGAGGTTTGCTATCTCCCAGCTTAGAAGCCACAGACTGAAATGTCCTGTCCTCCTAGGTTTTGGCCTTGTGTTTGTTTAGCTGTTAAATGACATAAGTAGACAGGAGCCTTGTCATTTAGAGCCCTGTAGGTGAGAGTGAGAATTAGATTGAAGTGATAACAGACAATTTACTTGATTTAGTCACATTTATTTCTAAAGGAAATAATGAAAAGCCTAAGATAAATGTGCCGTTCCTGGCAACGCTGTGTGTATGCAAACCTTAGACAAGAACTCTCTGAATTACAATAAAAAATAAAAACAAAAAGGAGGAGAAAGGTATGAGAAATCAGATCCAGTCAGCTCACAGTATCACAGTTAGCTTTGGAGATGCTGTAATAAAGAAATAATATAATCCAGTGATCCTAATGCATTTATTTAAACAAGATTTCAAGTAGTCTATTTTTATATTTTCAATATTTGAATCAACAATCAAATTTTAAAAGGTTGTCTCGCACTTAAAACATTTTTGTCCACAAACGTTTTTCTATTTGATCATGATGAAAACTCACACCTTAACAGACCTTCCACATACTGATTTTATGTGAACCTATAACTTCAACACTGAAGTTAACACTCCGTACTGACGCCTAAAAGGTTCAAACATGTTATGTCCAATTTCTGTAAAACATGAAGGAACATTCTAGAAATTTTAAATAAAAATGTACCTGCAACCCAGACCTCCACTGCCGGGATGCAGCTCAGATAAATAGTTTTTTTTTCAGTGTTACTGATTACATGAAAAGCAGAGAAAGGTGCATCTGAGTCTGTGGTCAAAATACAATGTTTTTTACGGCATTTTAGGTTCTAAAAAAAGCTTTTTTAAAGCTGGTTTTCTTGAAGCCAAGAAAATTAATTTTAGCCATTCAATCAAAATAGCATTGATTCATAAAAATCTTCTAAATGAAAAATTGTATATGACTATTAAGAGAATTATTCTTATTTAGTCTTTTCTGTCTGTGCTTTAGATATGATATGATATATTTTTATCCTGATGACCAAACATCCAGCAGCTCATATAGTATTACTCCATCCTAAGAGTCCCACCCCCAGCACCCCTCCCATCCAGATGCACCGGAGGAGGGACCCCGCACCCCGGCTGAGCCGCTCTCAATTCATTTTAGTATCTGCGGTTTCTGTTGATCCATGAAATGTCCTGTCTCCAGCGGCTCTTCATATTTACTAATGTATTCCCTCAGTATGGAGCCCTCCTCTTTCCACTGTTTAGGATGGAAGGATGGGGTTATAAATAATACGTCCTGTCGACGAGGTGTAGAAACAGAGGAAGTTCATGCATGCATGGGCATCTCGCCCTCAGCTCACCTCACCATTAAAGAAGGCTTTTATTACTGTGTGTTTCTTCTGAGCTCAGTGTGGCTTTAAGCTTTTTCTTTAAGAGCCACTTTACTAAAGCATTTCAATAGCAGTCTGGAGAAGTTATTTCATAAAACCAAAACCATACAATTATCAACTAACCTTCTTTTATTGGGCTAATTCCTAGTAAACTTCATGAATTAATCTTTTCTGCTGAAAAGATTTCCCAGTAACTGCAGCATCCCTGATTCTGTATCCACATAATTCTGAGGAAGGTTCCTCTGGTTTTAAATTCTGAATTATAAAGAAGATGTATTAATTTATAATTTTAATAAAAAGCCTACAACACCTTACAAAGGATCTTATACTAATTTCTACCTTTTCTTATTTGAAGCTGAAAAATAATTGGTTTCGTAGTTTTAAACAAAAAAAAGAGATTAACTTTTACTTATTATTTATTGTTATATGAATGATAAGAACTGTGATTTATTGTGATGTTCATAAATCACAAAACAGTCTGGCTATCCATGATAATGTATCTATTTTATTCCATTTCTGGTTCCATGAGAAAATTGTATTTGTTTTTTCAAATTATAATAAATTTGCTCCTATTGTGCATTCCAGTGCAGCTGCACTGTTTCATGTGCTGAAGTAGACTGTTTAAAAAGTGCAATCAGTTTTAATTACCTTTCATCCTCAGTTTCCCCACTGTAACAATAAATAGCCCCTTTAATACCAGACTATATCATGTGAAAATGTAAGGTTCAAATAGTCTATCCCCAGAGTGTACAGTGAAACATGGCCGAGGCAGCATCATGCTGTGGGAATCCAGGTTTTCTAACAAGTGAAGCTCTTTAGAGAACTGCCTCTAAACTCTTGCAAATCCTATTTTCTAACCATCTTCTCTGTCCCTGCTAAATAATGGCGCTCCCACATCATGAACCTGCCAACACCTTGTTTCATCATGCATGCCACACTTGCCAGATTTCTATTTGGCTTAAAAGTGGCAAAAGTTTCAAAAGGGTTTAGGATGAGCAAAAAATAAATAAAAATGCAAGTATAATCACTGTAGAAAAGTTGTTTGACAAAATGTTCATATACTGTAATTCATATAACTTTCATATATAATAATAAGTCATTGTCACTTAGGGTCCCTGACTAAATCCTTGACCCCACAATGATGGGGGGGGCAATGACAAGCTGGGATGGACTTACTGCAGAGGAAAGTTATTTTAGTAATGCACTGTTGCAATAACAAATGAAGGTTATTCTTTGAATTCAGCTCCGTCTGACATTCATTTTTAATTAGCCAGTTTGTTTAATATCTAGGTATAATTAAAAAAATACCAAACAGTTACTCTTTTTCAGCCTTTCCATAATGATACATAAACTCAGTTAAAACGTGTTCCTCCAAATAATCACAATAGAAGCATTACAAATATGAGAGAAATTACTTTTTTTTTAAAAGGCACCTGACAGTTGCTGAACTTCCTAATTACAGGCAGTGAATTGATACTAATATCACTCCACTGGCAGTCTGTGAATGTGTTCTCAATGAATTTGATGTTTAAACTATGTATAAAATCTCTATCTTAATTCTAAATGTATTTTTGTAAATGAATGATGGTGGCATATCTGACTGCATGCAGAAGATATGTTGGTTCTTATCTGGGGATAAGAATGGTTATATACTCACTAATGTCTAAGAATAGTCTGTAAAATGATTAGAATTTTTTGGCATGCTTTTTGTGATTTAGCTTCATGTGATTTTTTTTACCATCTGCAGTATCTCCTTGTTCCACTATTGCCAGTTTGGGACAGAGAAGCTGTAGCCAGAGAGTAAAGCAAAGTTGTAGCAGGGGCACCTCCAGCTGGTGTTTCCAGAAGCAACATGCAGATTAACACCTAGATGTTTGTCTCACAGGGTTCCTGCGCAATCTGGGATTTACTGGATGTTATTTCCAGGTCAAAATATGTATGGATAAATTAAGATTGGATATAGAACAGTATTTATAGTCTTTTCTTATTCCTTTATATTATTATTTAACATCTATTCTTTATCCAACTGTCCATTCTTTTGTTCGTCCATCATTCTGTGCGTCAACCAATCCGTCTATTCATCCATTCTTTTTTTATTCTCTTCCCCATCCTTCCTTCCAGTCTGTTGTTTCCTTCATTTTCCATATTGGTGAACATTTTGTTTGAATTTAAACAATTATGTAAAAAGGACTGAAAACTCTTTTAAATGTTGTGTGTGGAAAAGAGTGTAATGTCTATAAAAATGCATAGGAACCCTGGTTTCAGTCCCTGTGGCATTCTGGTTGAGGAGACTAAAAAACAGGCGACTTATCCCTTCTTCTGGCAGGGCACCTGAGTAAGATTCTTTTTTCTCAATTCTCCCCAGACACACCATCCTGAGAAGCCACTTTTTCCTACCACAGGAAGCCCAAGAGAACACTATAGGTAGCAGTCTGACAGGCAAACTGAACCCTGGCCTTTTATATCCTGCCAGGTTTGAGAAGTTGGACATCACCCCTAAAAGCGCCCAGAAGATTAAGCCTGTTCTGGAGCGTTGGATGGCCGAGGCTGAAGCCCGCCACCGTTCCGGAATGCAGAACCTGACTGAGTTTATTGGGAGTGAGCCTTCGAAAAAACGCAAGAGGCGGACCTCTTTCACACCGCAGGCACTGGAGATCCTCAACAGCCACTTTGAGAAGAACACGCACCCCTCCGGACAGGAAATGACGGAGATAGCTGAGAAACTGAATTATGACAGGGAGGTGGTCCGCGTGTGGTTCTGCAACAAGAGGCAAGCCCTGAAAAACACAATAAAGCGCTTGAAACAGCCCGAGCTCGGCATGGCCGCGCCTATGGACCCTCTCACCGACTCTCTAGAGGACCTCCCCAAGTGAACGAGCGCAAAAGTGTCAGCCATTACAAACGGAAGCAAAGAAAAAGAAAGCAGATGAAGACTGGAAAACCGAGTCAGCGGGATAGAGAAAAACTTTGTGTTGTCATTGTGATCACCACAGTTCTGTAAATGACCTCTGCAAAAAACCAAAAAAAAAAAAAACACGAAAAAGAGATTAATATGTGAGAATTATGTAAAAAGAAAAACATAATGGCGTGCTGATTTAAAGAGATATAGATCCAGAACTGTCTCCCTAATTCTGGTTCTCCTGCGAAGAGGAATTTAGTAAAGAGAAACCAAATCCAAACACTATCTACCAAAGTCTGTTACATCTAACTGCTAAAACTAATTTTGTAATGTAAATGTGCTCTAAATTTTTACATTTGTACTGGCAAAATCTAAGCTATACGTGTGTGTGAGTACACCTTTTATCCTCGTCTCTTACTTTTTTCTTCGTTCTTTGAATGTAAATATAGAAAAAGAAAAAAAAGATAAAAAAAATGTCTTCAGATTAAATCACTGATACATTTTTGGCGGAAAAAAAAGAACCTTTGCTGTTGCATTATAATGTTGTTTGCCTCCAGTTGTGTTTCATCTGTAAATATTTTCAGTCACAATGTAACTTTGTACAACTTTTACAGGTATTTATTAATTATCGGATGAGATTGTTGGTGAAAAAAAGGGAGAGGAAACGGGGGACTTTTAAATATGATGGTGGTGAAAATAATGAGGGGTTTTAGTCTCAAGTTGTACTGCAGCTTCGTTTCTGTTGTCAAAGCCTGATAGCCAAAGAACACACAAACTTCAGCTCAAGGACTGGGGGAGATCTTTTCTTTCTGTTTTCTTTATATTCACATGGTTTTCTGCCTCCTTTTTATAAAGTGTTTTACTGTGTGTTGGAAAAAAAAATCATGTCAAACAGCTTCAACTGTGCTTTTTTTTTTTTTTACAACAGCTTGTAAAGAAATGTTTCTTTTACGTAGATTTGCCTCTGCATGCTTTAACCAGACCACAGATTTCACATCATGAAATTAACATATTCATCTGTATTTTTCATGAAAATGAACATTTTAATATTACCCTAACTTTGTCTAGATGTGTGATTAGGAGATTAACCACCGAGCTTATTGTTTGCAGGTTTTTTTTTACTTGAATATCTCACAAAAACTGCTTTTCTTCAAGGAGCCGTTTTTGTTCTTTCATAGTTTGAATTTCTTTTAGCTGAGTGAAGGTCACTTCTGTTAAGCAAAGCTTTATTTCTATGTGTTAGAACATTTGTTATTTAACACTTACAAGGTTCTAGTTTTATAATTTCTCTTATTTATTGTGTTCAGAAGCAGAATTATTTAAACCCCTGTATATCATTCAGTTTCTGCACCTTGCAAAGGTCTTACAGCCCCCAACCTTTTTTCACGTTTTCATATGAAAGCCTCTGAATTAGCTTTATTTTAAGTCCATAATTTTGTCATAGACCAACACAAAGCAGTGCAGAGGGAAAATGGTTCATGTTTTTTATTTTCTTATTTTAACCAATAAATATCTGTAAAGGGTGTCCAACATATGCTTCAGCTTAAAGATAAAAAAAAAAAATGTTGAATCATTGTTTCTTTGCAGTAAAAGCCTCAAGTATGTAGGTCTCTACCAGTTTTATTCATGTACATATTTCCTTGTTTTTCCTGCTCATCATCGCAAACCGGCTCAGACTCGTTCTGATAGGATGGTGCGGATCTGTTTACATCAGCTATCCGAAACTCTTAATTAGATCTACGTCAAGGTCATGATTCTGCATTATTTCATCCTCTTAAAAAAAAAGCAGTTCATCATGTTTTACAAATACTGTTTAATACAGTACTATTTAAAAAGTCCCTTATTGTCCCACAGCGGGGAAATTCAGATATGCCAGTGGTGAAACAAATGGGCGGTGAAAGCAAACAGGTACAAATAAGACTGCAAAATATGAAAAGAAGGAAAAGAAAATAGAAAATGAAGGGAAGAAAATAAAGAATTTCTCATTCCTCTAGTCAAATAAAAATGTTATGAGAAAAAGACCCCACGTTCTTATTAGTACAGTAAAAAAAAAAAGTTTTTCTGCCTATTATATATTATAAAATGTATTTATTCCTTTGCAGAAATTGCATATAAATTCCTGTTCATATCAAAAAACTTCTTATTTCTAAGACATTGCAGGCCTAAATCATTAGGAGCTGCTTTGAGGAACCTGGAGGGACAAATGATGTCTCTGAGCTGCATCTTGCAGCATTTTAACACATGAATATGCTTCAAAATAAACCGCTGCAGTGTAACTCTGCCTCTATGTTCAGGTTCAGTCTCCTGCAAGAAAATGAGGCTATAGCGCAGGCTCTTATCCTCTTCAGCTTCTATTTCCTTTTATCCAATATCCTTTCAACCGTGACCAGCTTCTACATCTCTGGTGAAGATTAGCAACCCCACATGATGATGCTGCCACCAACTCCTTTAATGGTGGGTTTATTGTGGGACTTTAGTTTTAAGTCAGACAGTTGAACTTTTTTACCTTATGAGAAAAGCAACTTTAAATCATTGTGAATACATCTGCACAACTGATTTTTTTTTTTTATCATTTTGAAAAAATAGGAATGTGAATTGTCATTTTCCTTCCTCTCCTCAATTGCTTATTGCTTTGAGTTGGTCTATTACATACAATGTCAATAAATGATTTGAAATAATGTGGCTGTGAGTTGACAAAATGAGTAAATGTTAATATTTTTGCAAGGCGCTGTATTTTCTTGCCAGAAATATCACTCTTCCGGGAAACGTCTCGATCCGTCACTCCCTTTTTTCCCTCATAGGAACAGAGAAGAGGTGAATGTTGAGGATAAGTGTCACATGTCAGAGCGAGTGAACTTAATTTGAAGTGAGGCGAAATTTGATGCGATTTATTCAGAATCAAGTGTCGGCTTGATGTACATCCTTCCACGTCGGTTATCTCGGCTGCTTTTGCACCCAGCCTGAAAATTCACTGTATCCCGTAAAATGTCATAGAAAAGTGGTTTGTGTGTTTGTGTTTTAAAACGGCATCCATTTACCTCCACAGATTTGTTCTGCTGCTTTCATTGTAAACAAACAATTTCAGGCAGAAGCTTGAAAAAAAAAACCTGAAAGTCTGCAGAGAAAAAACAAACACTGATCAGCTTTGAGGCTTTAAAACATACAAAAGAAGCTGTAACCAAAATGGAAAGAAACCTAAAAGAAGACACAGAAAGGAGTTATGCCTTCACTCGACTTATTAAAGCTGGACCAAAGCTCTATAGTTATGCACATTGTACAGAGACGTAGATTCAAGATGTTGACAATCTTTAAAAACATGAGCAGAAAGAAGACGAGCAGCAGGAACACAGAGGTTCATACCTCAGTGTTGGAAATCAGATAAATGCAGTTCAAGCAAGCAGCTGCTCTGCACTGTGTCCATGTTCACTGTTAAGGTAGAGGAAAAAGGCTTCTGCTTCCTTTTCTTTGACGCATCACTCTGTTATACTTATCTCTAACTGAGCCACATTGATTTTTATATACAATTCTTAATGATTTTTTTTCTCTGTGTTTAATTATTTACAGCTTGTAGAAAGATGTAGAAGAAGAAAATAACGACAGCTGTGTTGTTCTTTATTTAATTCTAGATCAGCTTTTTTTTTTTTTTTCCTTAATCAGTTTCAAAAACCAACTCAGAAACAAATTTTGTTAGCAGTCAAAGAACTAGAAACCAAAGCTGAAGAGTCTCTGGATGTTGGTTTTCTTTTCTCCCTGTGTGTTGTTTTTTTTTTTTTTTTTTACAGACTGAAAACTGTAATTAATCTATAGAGCAATATCTGTTTTGGTCGGTTTAAGCAGCACTTTCTGTATTTCTTACAAAACAAGAGAAAAGAGGGAAAAACTTATTAAAAAAAAGAAAGCTTCAAGTCTGTCACATTGATTTGTACCATAATTCGTAATAAACAATGTTTGACATGAAAATGACGACAAGAGTTTCTTGTGGAGTCGCTTTTTCTGAGAAGATTCAGCCCTGGAGAATAGAATATATATATATATATATATATATATATATATATATATATATATATATATATATATTTTTTTTTTTTTTTTTTTTTTTTTTTTTTTCTTGAAATTTTAATTGCAGCTGCACAGCATACATTTACCAAAATAAAGGCTGATGATGCAAAGGTGACTTTTACAATTATTATATTTTTATCTTTATGTTTTTATTATGTATGTAAACAATAATGATCAGACATTTTAAATCAGTATCACTGACCTTCAATTGGAAAATAAGTACAATATAATTTGGTCTATCGATATGATTGACTCACTATTATATGATTGTCACACTATTAAAAGAATTCTGTAAATGAATAGTGAATTGGTAACTGGTGAAATGGGGAAGGAGCTAGCTGGGACTGGACTGGGTGGGTTGAAGTACGGATATTTTCAGTTGATAAGTGGAGCTGGCTGTTTAAAGTTCACTCTCAAAAACATTACCTGAAAGTTAGTGATTAAAGTTCTGGATGCACTGTTAAAATGTGATTTTATTTAGCTTGTTTGATTTTTGTAGTTTTATTTGTGCTGTTTGTACAGTTGCAGGCGGCCTGTGGTTGCACTACCTATTAGCTATGCCTCAGAGGAGATTTTTTATTAAATATGGAAACCGTAAATAAACCTTTTTTATATCTAAAGTCAATGAGATGTAATATCAGTATTTTTAAAACTCAACAAAATCCAGCTGAGTTTTCAAGCATGAATCTTTTTTTCACAGCACATTCTTTTTAACATCTCTCAGCCTGATTGAAAAAGGGGAGGATTTTTAGAAAAAACATGAGTGACGGTAACATTTGCGAATTATATATTGATGTTATTCTGAGTGCATAAGAGAGTAAAGACATTGGTGATTTACAAAACCTGCTATTTAATCAGACAATTAAAAACAAATATGTCATATATTCTGTTTTTTTTTTATTAATACCAAAGTTTCTCCTCTAGCTAAGCTTCTTTTTCTAAATGAAGCTGTTCATATTTTAAGAAGAATTAGAGCAGATATCTAAGGAGAGAAAACTAATTAATTTCAAGCAAGTTCAGCATAAAATCATCATTAGATCGAGAGGACATGATATCACTGCCTGCTTTCTTTTCCTCATGACATCACTCAGTATGAGGAGTTATTTATGCTGATTTTCTTTATTA